AAAACCATTATACCCTGATTTCCCATTTTCAATGGGTTCAGGGTATAAAAAGCGATGGAAAGAGTAGGCCGCAAAGTCAATTAGGCTCGACAATGCGACTCGCTGAACGGCACAAAGGTAATTTGAAAAATCGATTTTGTGCAAAACTTGACTGGATTGCATTTGATTTTTAAAGCTAATTGAGAGTAACTCACCTTTAATTAAGGAGTCGCTAAACTTTTTTCTTACATGCTGCTCAGTTGTTATCGATAAAAGAATGCCTTCTACAAATTCGCAATAGTTTGGGGCTCAGAACACAAATCCAACAACAAACGGCCTACGTGACCAAGTTCACAATAGATGTGTATATGCGGTTTATTTACAATAGATCAGCTCGCCCTGCTGGACATGCCTGTGTATGGGTGTCCACACGTGTGAGTGTGTGCTAGGCTGTCTCCGCTTCTGTTTACTGTGTTATCGCTGTCTTCATAAGAATACCATTATATTTGTTTTTGTGGTTTCCAATCAGTATCTACAACTGCACTACTCAATTGAAGGGACGCGTTTGTCTGTGGTGTCGCTGTCCATTGGCATTTTTGCGGTATATTGTGCATACAACATTTGTCATTTGGTTTTACACACTTGCAACTTTTGAGATTATGTAGTCACACACTTCACAATGAACTGTTACAAAATACACGGAAACTGCAAATTTTTGCTAAATTTAACAAAACACATTGAAATAACTAGAGATGCACCACATACGATAAAGCGATTCGATTACACTACTTTGCAGTGCTATACATCGATATTAACTGGGAAAATAACTGGTTGCGCTGGTCACACGTTTTGCACACGTTTTCATCTGTGAGTGCAATTCGCGTGAGGAACTTCAAAAGTGAGTTTACTTTTTTTTAATACGTACATTGCATCAGCAAAAACTATAACAGCAACACTTTATTTCACATTAAAACAGCGCAGCTATAAACACGAATACGCAGCATGCCGGAACAAGAACAGCCAAACAGCGCCGATTCGCCAGCCGGTGATGGAGGCCCACCAAAGACGGCCAAACAATTGGAAAAGGAAGCAAAAAAAGCTGAGAAGCTGGCCAAATTACAGGCCAAGTTGGACAAAAAGGCATCAGCAGCGCCAGCGGCAGGAGAAAAAAAACAAAAACCTGAGGTAAGGCTCTGTGCCACGAATTGTCATAGGTTAAGCCGATTGGCGTTGTACTTGCAACAGGGAAGGACAGCGCATAGACTATTTCGGCATTCGAATGACTCATGCGTATATGCAATTACTTCAACTCCATTAATACTAATTGCGTGAATCGTAAGCAGAAAAGTGAAAGATAATTACGCTGCTTTGTTATGCCTTGTAAAAACTATTTGGGTCAGGTATTTTAAAGCTCACCTTCCATCTTTCATATGCACTGTTATTTTCTTCGGTGAAAGTTACAATCACTTTTGTTATTACAGAAACGCGCCAAAGAAGTCAAAGAATCAGCAGTTTATACGGCCAGCACAGCTCCTGGCGAAAAGAAGGATATCAGCGGAGCTCTTCCCGATGCATATAGTCCACGCTATGTGGAGGCCCAGTGGTACAGCTGGTGGGAGAAGCAGGGATTCTTCACACCCGAATATGGCGTAGGTGTAAAAATATATTCTTTTTAAAGTAATTTCTAATTAGCTTTACGTCAGCGCGATTCTATTGATGCACCTAATCCGAACGGGAAATTCATCATGGTCATACCACCTCCGAATGTTACGGGCTCCCTTCATTTGGGTCATGCCTTGACTAATGCCATTGAGGATGCCATCACGCGCTATCACCGCATGAAGGGACGCACGACATTATGGGTGCCGGGCTGTGACCATGCGGGCATAGCCACGCAGGTGGTGGTTGAGAAGCTAATTTGGCGGGAGGAAGGCTTGTCACGGCACGATCTGGGGCGTGAAAAATTCATTGAGCGCATATGGGACTGGAGACGTGAGAAGGGCGGTCGCATCTATGATCAACTGAAGGCTCTGGGTTCCTCCTACGATTGGACACGCGTAAACTTTACCATGGACCCGAAGCTGTGTCGCGCCGTTACGGAGGCTTTTGTGCGTCTGCACGAACAAGGAGACATTTATCGTAGCTCCCGCTTGGTGAACTGGTCGTGCTCACTGCGTTCCGCCATCTCAGATATTGAAGTGGACAAAGTGGAACTGGCTGGCCGTACATTCCTGAGCATCCCGGGTTACGACGAGAAGGTGGAGTTCGGCGTGCTCATCAAGTTCGCCTACAAGGTAGAGGGTAGCGACGAGGAAATCATTGTTGCCACCACTCGCATTGAGACCATGTTGGGTGATACGGCTGTGGCAGTGCATCCACAAGACGAACGCTACAAGCATTTGATTGGCAAGCATGTGGTGCATCCGTTCTGCGATCGCCGCCTGCCCATTGTCAGTGATGAGTTTGTGGACATGAGCTTTGGCACGGGTGCCGTTAAGATAACTCCCGCTCATGATCCCAATGACTACGAGGTGGGCAAGCGCTGCAATCTGCCCTTCATTACCATATTCAATGATGACGGCTTCATCATTGGCGACTATGGCGAGTTCACGGGGCTCAAGCGTTTTGATTGCCGAAAACGGCTGCTGGAGAAGCTTAAGCAATTGGGACTCTACCGCGAGACACTGAACAATGCCATGGTTGTGCCCATTTGCAGTCGTTCCAAGGATGTGGTGGAGCCGCTGATCAAGCCGCAGTGGTATGTCAGCTGTGCGGATATGGCTGCCGCTGCCACGGAATCAGTGCGTTCTGGTGAGCTAAAGATTTTGCCGGAGCATCACACCAAGACCTGGTATCATTGGATGGATGGCATACGGGACTGGTGTGTCTCGCGGCAGCTCTGGTGGGGTCATCGCATACCTGCCTACCATGTTAGCTTTAATGATGCCAGTATTAAAGCCAGCACGGTGAGCATTCCATTTAATTATTCGCATCACAAAATAAACAATTTCCTAATTTCGCTATACAGCCCGATGATGAACAGTATTGGATTGTGGCACGTAGTGAAGAGGAGGCTTTGAGCAAGGCGGCCACACGCTTTGGCGTGGACGCCAGCAAAATAGTGTTGCAGCAGGATGAGGATGTGCTGGACACCTGGTTCAGTTCCGGTCTGTTTCCGTTTTCCGTGTTCGGCTGGCCGGATAACACGGTTGATTTGCAGACGTTCTATCCCACGTCCCTATTAGAGACGGGCCACGACATACTTTTCTTCTGGGTGGCGCGCATGGTTTTCTTCGGCCAGAAGTTGATGGGAAAGTTGCCCTTCAAGGAGGTATATTTGCATCCAATGGTACGCGATGCTCACGGACGCAAAATGTCCAAATCGCTGGGCAATGTTATCGATCCCATGGACGTGATTCATGGTATTTCACTGGAGGGTCTGCACAAGCAACTCATTGGCTCCAATTTGGATCCGCGTGAGATTGAGAAGGCCAAACTGGGTCAGAAGCAGGACTATCCGCAGGGCATACCCGAGTGCGGCTCGGATGCGCTGCGTTTTGCGCTGTGTGCCTACATCACCCAAGCTCGTGATATTAATCTGGATATTAATCGTGTGCAGGGCTATCGATTCTTCTGCAACAAGCTTTGGAATGCCACGAAATTCGCCCTGCTCTACTTCACCGGCGATGAGCTCTACAACACCCAGGTGACAATCTCAAATGAATTGAACCAAATGGATGCCTGGATTCTGTCACGATTGGCGGCCACCATTGAGGCATGCAATGCTGGCTTTGAGTCCTACGATTTCGCGGCCGTAACCAGCGCCTGCTATGCCTTCTGGCTGTACGATGTGTGTGATGTGTATTTGGAGTGTCTGAAGCCCATCTTCCAAAGCGGCAATGACGAGCAGCAGGCTGCAGCTAGGCGCACATTATATGTGTGCCTGGACTATGGCCTACGTCTACTCTCGCCTTTCATGCCCTTCATTACCGAGGAGCTGTTCCAGCGTCTGCCAAGGGCGGACAGCACTCCTAGCATTTGCGTAGCCAGTTATCCAAGTAAGAAACAGCAATGCATAATCGAATTATATTTAATGATCTTTAATTTACACAGCGAATACCAGCTGGCGCAACCCTCAGGTCGAATCGGATGTAGAGTTCGTGCAGAAGGCAGCGCGTGTGATACGCTCCGCTCGATCCGACTACAATTTGCCCAACAAGACCAAGACGGAAGCCTATGTCGTGTGCACAGATCCAGCACCCAATGCGATACTCAAGCGTTATGCCAGCGACTTGGCCACTATTGCCTACTGCTCCACTGTGGCATTCGATACGGCACCGCCGGCTGGCTGCGCAATACTTACCATCTCGGGACAGTGTGAAGTGCATTTACTGCTCAAGGGTCTGATCGAGGCGGACAAGGAGATTGCCAAGCTGCAGAAGAAACGCGAACAACTGGAACAGACCGTCAGCAAACTCAGCCAGGCCATTCAGGCCTCCGACTACGCCACCAAGGTACCTGCCGAGGTGAAAGCGGCTAATGATACGAAGCTAACCGAATCCCGTACTGAAATGGAACGCATTGCTGCTGCCATCGAGACGCTAAAGCTAATGTGAGGCAATTAATCCCTGGGTGCACAGTCTGATCTGCATTTTTGTTGATACTCTTATAGACGCTTGACTATACTCGCTTAAAAAAAAAAAAAAAACAACTGGAAAAATTGCAATGAATTTGTTTCCTTAAACATTTTTTATTAATAGCTACAATTTATAAAATATATGTGCTAATTTATCAAATGCAAGACAAGATTTTTAAAGGAGAAAACTGAATACTTGATAATTTTGCTATTTTTAACACAAAAATCCATTAACAATTTGTTACATATTTTACCTTGTCACAATTATGCAAATTGTCCAGGTCCAAGTTAAGCTGCGTATTACGAATCCATGGGCATACGACATAGACCAATTAAATACATAATTGATAAGATTCCTTAAAGAAATGGAGTTTTAATAAGGAATTCCAATAAATACTGAGTAGAGCACTACTTCAAAAAGTCGAATGAGTTTTGTGCCGCTGTCCGTCCGACTGTTTATTCATCTATACTCGTCTGTAAGCTCGCCTGATAGTCTTCAAGTGCCCAGTTCATTGGAATTGCTAGGTGATATATCAGAACTGCTAAATAAGTAGTCAGAATATGAAATGGAAATATATTCGCGTTGACAATCCAAGTCAATAAGATGGTATCATTATCGTATCATCTGTGGTTTTACGGCTAGAAATTCCGAGATAAATAAAGTACTGTTGATCTACTCTGAATCAGTATTCTGGAATCGGTAGCGAATAACTGCAAGGTTATTACTTTCTAAGGCGCCTCTCTTAGCACGTAATTTAGTTTTGTAAATTATTTAAAAGCAACTCATGACTCTTCTGTGGAGATAGATCCTTTTTGGAACGAAGTATATCTACGAAATTGTTCTCAAGTACCTCAAGACCATGGCTCATTTCAGCTCTCTATTTGAGGGCTGCATTGAGTCCTTTGCTAGACGCGAAGCTCTGTTTATTCCAACAGTCCTTCAACCGTCCATTGCCCAGCCGGCACCCGCGTGGAGGGTTCGGTCTGAGGATTTTCGCCAGCCAACCCACTTAACCCCTATTATGATGATCATTTTCAATAAGTCTGCAACAAAATTTAAAATTGTCAAGCAAATCTTGGGGGATACCGAAACATTGCAAGATGTCAACCAAATC